CACAATTTGCAATCACATCTCCATGCTAATAAAACCCACTTCCTTCCTGCATTCCCTTCTGTTCATGCACAATCATCAGCCAGCTCCTTGAATTCAATACTTCAAAGTCAGCCTCTCCTAATTCTGCCCCATTTTCTAAGGCCAGTTGCTTTTAACTCATGTTTTATTTCAAATCCAGTATTTTGACTCAATACCACTGTATTTGTTGAGATCCTCAGCACACAGCATCCACACACATTTATAGTTTTCCCAGCCTCCAGCTTCTCTCCAGTTTCAATCAGTCCTCCAACATCGCCAGAATTAGCTTCTCCAAAAAGGTATTTGAGGAAGGGCAACCCCTGCTTAAAATTCTCCCACTCCTTTCCCATAGTATGCATACATACTAGCATGGATAGAAGGTTCTTATGCTCTAAACCAAACCCACATTTCCTCTTCCCTTTCTACCCCTTCCTCTGATACACCTTATATCGCAGTCATACAAGGCTGCCATTGTACTTTCACAAATACATCCTGAGTTCTCAGAACTTCATGCCTTAGTAGGTCCTGAGAGGTCTGTCAGGAATGCCCATGTTATCCCCTCCCTCTCTTTCCTCAGTTGGTGAACACCTCATTCCACAAACCTCATCTCAAAGGTTTCTTCTCAAAGCTTTCTCTGACCCCAAAGCAAAGATCCTCCTTTATAGCACTGTTCATGTGTGATTGCATTGATTTCCACAAAATAGTCTCTCATGCATGAGGCTGCCTGCCACACATTTGTGTCATCCATGCCTACAACAATACCTTTTGTATGGTGGGTACTCAATAAACATATGCTGGATACTTCCACTCAATGACTCCTCACAGCCCTTAAAAACCACACTCCCAGAAGCCCCTTTTTACCCTCATCATGGATGACCACCTCCTTCCCCCATCAGAACCTTCTTTTAAAGATGACTTTGTCCCTGTTCCTTCAGCTGCTGGTCAGCCAGGACTTTCTGCAGCAAGAGTCAGCAGAATTAGAAAATAAATGGCACCCTGAGCTTAGCCACAGGCAGAAGTGCAAGAGGCAACCAAACTGGTGACTGCCTCTCTCCTGTTAATTAAATATGTCTTTTTGTCATTGTTATATCCTGCTGACTCAAGATGAAGCAGCTGCAGCTATCCAGGAGGAAACAGAAGCTGCTTTTCCTAATAACTAAAGCATCTCATTGCTTTCTCTCTGACTAATCAGTTACAGATTCTAGCAGAGAGTAAGAGAGTGCTCCCTGACCAGTCCCAAGCCCATAGGCTGGGGTCCTACTAGCCTAAATAACATGTGAGTCTTTTCATGACCCTCAGAGTCTATGAAATGCTTCTCCAAAGTAGGTAGAGATACCATTAGAAACATTGGTTCAAAAAATGAATAATAAATCACTTAGAAACCAAATTAATAAGAGGAAATTATAAAGTAAATTTCCTCAAGTAAATTATACAAAATTCAAATATGTTCACAAGAGTTGGTATTAAAAAGTAAGCTTTGGTGTCAGCCTCTGGTCAAGATGGAGGTATGGGTAAATGCAGCTAGTCTCTTCACACAGCCACAGCAAAAGCTACACAACTAAGCTACAAAACAATGGCCCTAGCTGGTGTGGCTCAGTGGATTGAGCACTGGCCTGCAAACCAAAGGGTTGCTGGTTCCATTTCCAGTGGAGGGCACATACCTGGGTTGCAGGCCAGGTCCCCAGCAGGGGGCGCACAAGATGTAACCACACATTGATGTTTCTCTCCCTCTCTTTCTCCTTCCTTTCCCCTCTCTAAAAAAATAAATAAATAAAATCTAAAAAAAAAGACCCTGAGTTGTCAGAATATTGAGCTGTATGGAAGACCAAGAACCAATGAATTAAGGAACTTACATTCATCCAGATGATTGGGAGGGGCTGAGATGTGGAAACGTGAGAAAATGTGTGGGGATGTGGAGACATGGAGATGTGGAATGGGCAGTCCCATGCTCAAGTGTGGCAGACAAAAATCGGGAGAAATATCTTGGTAGTAAGAAATCCCAGCCCCACACCAGACCCAGGGTTCCAGTGCGAGGAAGATAAGTCCCCATAACTCCTGGCTATAAAAAGCAGTGGGGGTCAGGGCAGCGGAAGAAACTGGGGGATTCTCAGGCATCTCCTCTTAAAGGGCCCACAATAGACTTAGGACTTATGCTGACTCACTCCCTTTGGGCTCCAGCACCAGAGCAGCAGCCGGAAGGGCGCCAGTGGCATGCAGAGAAAAACTGAAGTGTCTGGCATCAGGGCAAGAGCTAGGGGACAGCTTCTTCCTGACAAAACTCCAGAGGCCAGGCAGCAGCATCGTCCCTTTTCTGAGCCCTCCCCCACACAGAGTCGCAGAGCAGTAACACCACATAGGAGATTCTATCAACCTCATTCACACGGATTGCCCTGCCTGGCAATTATCTAAGACTCTGCCCAATCCAACTTACCTGAGCTTTTTTCTACAATTGACCATACTACTAAGACAAAGAGTCAAGGCAGCTGTACCTAGTACACAGAAACAAATACAAGGAGGCTGCCAAAATGAGGAGTCAAAGAAACATAACCCAAATGAAGGAACAGAACAAAACTCCAGAAAAAAAACTAAGCAAAAGAGCCATAAGCAATCTATGAGATACAGAGTTCAAAATATTGGTTATTAGGATGCTCAACAAACTCATTGGGTATTTCATTGGGTTCATTGGGTAACCCAGGCAGGAATAAAGGTTACAATAATGAAATAAAGAAACATTTACAGGGAACCAACATTAGAGTAGATGAAGCCAAGAATCAAATCAATGATTTGGAGCATAAGGAAAAAAAAACATTCAGCCAGAACAGCAAGAAGAAAAATGAATCCAAAAAAATGAGAGCAAGCTAAGGAGCACCTGGGACATCGTCAACCAACATCTGAATCATAGGAGTGCTAGAAGGAAAAGAAGATCAAGAAATTGAAAATTTATTTTAAAAAAATAAGGAAAGAAAACTTCCCCAACTTGGTGAAGGAAGTAAACATACAAGTCCAGGAAGATCAGAGAGTCACAAACAAGATAGACACAAAGAGGGCCACAGCAAGATGCATCATAATTAAAATGTCAAAGATTAAATAAAGAGAGAATCTTAAAAGCAGCAAGAGAAATGCAGACAATTGGCTACAAAGGAGTTCCCATAAGACTGTCAACTGATCTCTCAAAAGAAACTTCTCAGGTAAGAAGGGACTGACAAGAAGTATTCAAAATTATGTAAAGCAAGGACCTACAACCAAGATTACTCTATGCAGCAAAACTATCATTTAGAATTGAAGCACAGATAAAGTTCTTCCAAGACAAGGTAAAGCTAAAGGAATTCATCATCACCAAGCCATTATTATATGAAATGTTAAAGGAACTTTTTTAAGAAAAAGAAGATAAAACTATGAACATTAAAATTGTAATAAATGTGCAATTATCAACAATTGAATGTAAAAATCAAACTAAGCAAACTAACAGAACAGAAACAAAATAATGATATGGAGATCATTTGGAGGGTTATCAGTTGGGAGGGGAAGGGGGAGAATGGGAGTAAATGTTCAGGGATTAAGAAGTACAAATTGATAGATACAGAATAGACAGGAGGAGGTTAAGAATAGTATAGGAAATGGAGTAGCCAAAGAAGTTATATGCATGACCTATGGACATGAACCAAGGGGGGGATTGCCAGAGGGAATGTGGGGTACTAGATAGAGGGGAAGAAGGAGGAAAAATGGGACAACTGTAATAGAATAATCAATAAAATATATTTTAAACAAAAGATTGGGCACCTTGGAGGCTACCCAGTTCAGTGTTCTATCCAATGTTTGGATAGTTCATCCAATGCTTATGTGTGCCACAGCATCCTCCTAGAGCACTTCTTATAATGTGCATTTGAGTTAAAGAAAAATGAAAATCAAAATAGGAGAAAAAGTTCTACTGTGCTACTCCTCAGAGACCACAATGTGACACAAAGGCAAAACTTAAAAAAGCATCCCATCAAATTCACAGAGCCAGAAAGATCAGAGGTTAGTGGTTGCCTAGGACTGGGGGTGGGGGGAAGGGGTATGAAAAAAACTAGAGAGTGACTTCTAAAGTGCACAGGGTTTCTTTTTTGGTAATAGAAATGTTCTAAAAATTGATGGCAGTGATGGTTGTACAAATCTGTGAGTATACTAAAACCTACTAAACTGTACATTTTGAAACAGATGGAACGAGTTATAATCAATAAAGCTGCTACCAAAAAAGATTTTTTTAAAAAAGTAAGCTTAAAATTGGCCCCAACTACTGAACAGCAAATGAAAATCAAAGCTATCTTCACAGATTATTTTCCAAAGTTTTTTTTTAGAACTCTATATTTTATCACACTAAAGTCATTTATTTTTTTGTACAGTTTATCTAATAATTTGAATTATAGAGCATATGAGTTTTTCTCCTTGTTTTTGTTTTTTATATATATTATCTCCTCTTTTAAGTGGTCATTCTTCTCTTTTAAACATGTTTATTGATTTTAGAGAGAATGGAAAGAAGAGGGAAGAAACATCAATGTGAGAGAGAACATCAATTGGTGGCCTCCCATACGCACCCCAACTGGGGATCAAACCCACAACCTAGGTATGTGCCCTGACCAGGTATTGAACCCCTAACATTTTGGTGTATGGGATGATGCTCCAACCAACTGAGTCACACTGGCCAGGGCAATAGTCATCCTTATTCTTTAATACACATAAAGCCACTGATGAGGGATGGAGCTGGGGGTAAAGATTGGCACCATATTACTAGAGGCCAGCACTCATATTTGGCACCCAGCTATATTGCATATCAGTAAAATTCTTCCCTTGATAAAGGATACTAATATTTTTCCATTGGAACCTAAACCTGTTCCCTGTAATCCTGATAACACTTAAGGTGGTTCTGTACTGAAATGCAGTGAGCATTAAAGGTCAACATTTCTCTTAACAAGTCCTTATCAAATTTTACTTAAAAGCATGCAAATGTCAAAAGTAACTGATATGTTAATAAAAATAAAAATCAAAATAAAAAGCTTTTTTATTTCAATACACTCTGTATTTGATCATTAGATAGCAGTGATGTAAAAAGTTTTCCCCTTTTTTTTGGTCTCCAAACTAATATTTGCAACTGAGCTAGCAGCTGATAATAGAGAGTATGAAAATTTGGGCTGAAATTAAAATGCCAAAATTGGATCTTCTGGATAATGAGAAACTGATTACCTCTATTACTGAAGAGGAAATGAAAACAGCAATAGAGAAATTTACAAGTAGCCAGCCTCCTGTGACGATGAGTACCAACTGGAATAGGATAAAGCATTTGAGGTAGAATCAAAAGATCTGTTATGCAGGATTTATGGGAACTGTCTACTTATGAGACCCATGAAAGCCCCAACACAAAAGCCTTTGTTCTTATAATCTGTCAAATGTACCAACATTGGTGCTGTTTGTTAATTAATTGCACTGTAAAAGAAAGAAGCCTTCCAGGTAGAAAACCAGATAAAATAATTCAGGTTGAGCTTGGTGGTTGTTTCTTGCATGACTGCACTTATTATATGTGCCAAATTTCTAATTTACAAGTGCTAGCAAATAGATTTAGACCTTCCTATGATAGGAATTTATGAATTTGCACACTGTCATTTAAAAGAAGAATATTTACAAAGGTGTTTAAACAAATTTCACTTTCAAGAACTTTAGTAAATGGAATATAAGGCATGAACCTCTCTGTGAGTACTTCAGTTACCAGTAAGAGTGCTCCTTTATCCCTGGGAAAAAATATGTGGTTTACAGATGACTTTTTGCTTCATTTTATCTGTTAACAAAAGTTTATGTTCAATTCAATAGAGAAGTGATTCAAGGCAAAAGTTAAAAGTTGACCATCCTTGGTAACTGTGTACTTCATTTTATAGTAATGCATTTATTCCACTTTTCAAATTAGTTTTAAAACTTCACTCATCAAAATCACCAGAATATATAAGTAAACACTTAACAACAATAACAAAAGACATGAAGCAAATTTCCTTAATAGTACTTAAAAAATGGTAAAGAATAAAATCCAAATCTCATCACCTACAGGTAACTCTGACAGACAATATCCAAACATTCTGTTAAAACTTTGCTGTTGGTTGCTCATTTATTTTTTTTCTCAAACAACAGTCCCACATTGCCTGTGGATGAAGGAAAAGAGAAAATTTTGTGTTATTTCAGTTGCTCCTGAAATCATTCAATGAACAATACAAATATACACTTCACAGCATATACCTGAAAAGGACTTGGTTATGGTGACATCATAGTCTCTCCCTCATTTTTCATCACTCACTTTTTGTTCTGCTTGATCCAGAAAACCCTTAATGCAGATGAACAATTCAGAATTCAGGTTTCACTTAAGGCAAGATTTCCCAAACTAATAGCTTATTTGACCCAAAACTTGTTTTCCCTTTCCCTCTTTTACAATTAAGAAATTCTACTTCCAATGAAGTAAAAGGTAACTAACATATTAAAAAGTCAGGAATTAGCACCCTCAGGTTCACTTCAGCATTATTTACAATAGACATAACATGGAAGAAACCTAATTTTCCATGAATATATGAATGGATAAAGAAAATGTGGTATGTATATACAAGGTGAGGCAAAACTAGGTTTACAGTTGTTCATATGGAAAATAATACAATAATTAATAAAAATAATACAAGATTAAACTGTTTCACTTACAACTGTAAACCTACTTTTGCCCCACATATAATGGAATAGTATTTAATTATAAAGAAGAAGGAAATGTTGCCATTTGTGACAACATGTCTGGACCTTTAGGTCATTATGCTAAGTGAAATAAGCCAGGCAGAGAAAGACAAATACTGTATGTTCTCACTTATGTGTGAAATCTAAGTAAACAAACAAAAAAATGAAAAATCACAGATAAAGAGAACAGATTGGTGGTTGCTAGAGGCAGGGGTGGGAGTGGGCAAAACGAGTTATAGTGGTCAAAAGGTACAAACTTCCAGTTACAGTATGGCAACTATAGCACTAACTCTGTATTGTGTATTTGAAGAAAGCTAACAAGTAGATCTTAAAAGTTCTCATAATAATAAAAAAAACTGTAACTACTCCATGGTGATAGATGTTAACTAGATCTATTGCAATACTCATTTTGCAATATACACAAATATCAAAACATTATGTCCTATACCTGAAACTAACATAATGTTTTATATCAATCATATCTCAATTAAAAAAGTCAAGAATTAGTAACACTGGATATACTTAAGGGTATACTAAGTACACTTACTAAAAGAATCTTTTAGAACATTAACAATTTTGTTATAATACATATTTGACTTATAAACTGATTTTTTGACAACTTCTTGTCCTCATTTTGCATGTGAAATTAACATCTCTATTTTTTCAAATAGCAAAACTGGCAAAATAAAGAACCATTGTAGACTTTTATGATTATAGGAATATATTGCTATTGCTCTTTGCCAAAACTATAATATTACTGGAGAAGTTGTAACAAGAAACAAATTGCTGAGGAAGCTATTAACTATTTAGTATTTCCAGCCCATATGGAAATACTAATAATATGTATTCATGAGGATATGACAGGTATATTTAGTAGGAGACTAATATTTTCTCAGTGTAAGTTGAGGTGGTTTTTTGTTTTGTTTTTAGTGTTTTGGTCAGATTCCCATAAACACCAATGCCTTTCAGAGTTAGTACAGTTAGGTCTTTCTTGTGATATATCTGTGTTTGGAGGATTGCATTCCAGAACCATTTATTATGGTTATGAGAGCTATTTCAGCAGATTGGCTAACCTATCTAAGAAGAAGTATGTGTCCATAGAATGGGAACAGACCATGACTTAAGGTGTAGCCAGCTTTTTTAAAATGTTTAGGGTTTTATTAGAGGCAGGGGTGGGATTTGGGCTCCACACTTGCCACCCAGAATTATCGAGCTCCAGAGCCTATTGAGCCAGACTCCAAACCTAGAGTCAGACTAAAAGGATTAAAATAAGGGTGAAAGCAGACATAGGAGGGCTATGATCAAATAGGAAATGTTGATGTATGTGTTTGTGTGTGTGTGTGTGTGTGTGTACAGCATCTGTGCTTAACTCTGTCAAAGAGGTGGAAATGTCAGAAGAGGTAACAACTGAGCTACACCTTCAAAAGTGACTAGGAGAATGTCTTATGAGTAAGGACATCTCATAAGAAAGGAATAAGGAGAAGTGTAAAGACACAGAGGTTGAGAAAGCCCTTCCAATTGAGGGACAGTGATATTCAATGCGGCTGGATTATAACATGCAAGGTGGGGAAGGTAGTGGTATAATGTACATAAATTTGTGATATTTCTCCTGGGAGATATGAATTATTCTGAAAGAGCATCCTCCAGGACAGGCTTAGAGTTACTAGGCAGATCATGTGACCATTTAGGTTCCGAAAGGGTGACTTTGGAGAGCAGAATGGTATGTCAGCCCAGATTGTGGCTCAGATTCTGGAAGACACTGCCAGTATTCACATCTTAGGTATGCTCTGTTCCAGCTTTGTGACCTTAGACATGTTACTTATTCATCTGTAAAATGGGAATAGTCACAGGATCTATGTTAGCATTATTGTGAAATTAAATGAGTTCATTATTTGTAAAGCATTTTGCATGAACCTAGCAAAGAGTAAGCATTACCTAAATGCTTAGTAAATAAAATAGTGCTTGCAGCAATTAGTGCACTAGCTCTTTATCAAGAAAACCTGTTCTGGATTCCAGGCCTGAAGGTACCTATTTTTTACAAAAAGATACTCAAAGGATCATTGAAGTCTCTGACTCTGGAATCTTAAACCAATTACTTGCTTCAGGGAAGAATTCCAGTCTTGACACAGATAATAATTGAATTGAGCCTTATGTAACAAATTATGGGGTTCATCTCAAAAGTGGTAAGTATCAGGCTCTCCAACAGAAACTGAATGTGAGTCTCTTGGTTTGATTTAGTGGACAGGCAGAAAAAAAAGGCAGCAGACAGATGATTCTCAAGCAAAGCCAAGAGACTTTTTTCCCCAAAGGGCTCTCTGAAAAGCAATTATTCCTTTTTATAGTTTCTCCAAAAAGAAATACAAGGTTATTAAGAACACTTTTTAATTCACATAGCTTAGATATTTTGGGGTAACTATATGTCATAATTACTGAGTTATATGTCCAGGTTGCATATAAAATAAATTGTTGTATGTAGAAGAACAAATGAAAAATGAACTATAATATTCCTTATAATTGCAAAAATATTAAAAATTTAGAGGAACACTTTGCATTGCACTTTGTCTTCAACTTAAACCTGTGTGACATAAGGGTCATCCAACTTCATTTATATAAGTAGAAGTATAGGATCAAGTGAGACAATTTGCTTGCTAAATTTTTTTAGATTTATATTGCTAACTACCGACCTCTATTCAAAATAATGAAAAAGAAAGTATACCAATTTCATCATAAAATAAATGCATATATGCATGTAATCAACAGACAACACTGACTTTTAAATTTAATTGTACTACTTAATATGTCAGGATGAACATTTATTAAAATTGATAGTTATAGTTAGTAATTTTAGAATAAAAATCTCTTACAGATGTGTACAACCTAGACACTTAACATTTCTTTAAAATGCAAGTTAATCTGAATGTTTCAGCATATATGTTTCACATCACACCATCTCTCCTTCCTAAATAAAAATTTACCTATAAAAATAATGGGTTACAAAACCTAGATAAAATATAACTTGTATGTAATTTGGGCTGGGTGGAAGCCATGAAAGTCTATTACCTTTATATATGATATCTAGAGAAATGAATGCATCAGAAAATCTTTCATTTAGTTAACAAATAAATTGTTTTTTGAAAAAAATAAAGTCAGGAAAATAAAAAAGAAGAATCCTCTATAGAAGAGACTAACAAAAGGCTTCTGATGTCACAAATTATATATTCATTCAATATAACTGTTCTCCCTAGCGGGACTTCTAAAAGGTTCAGTATAAATTTTTTAGAAGTTTGTTTCATGTAAGCATCACCACATATGCCAAATGATCCATTAAGGATGCTCCAATATACCTTAAAGAGTTTTGAGTTAAACACTTAGAGTATCGTGGCCTAAAACACTAAGAAAATACACAGCTCGATTTCATTTGATGTAACTCTGTAGGAAGATATTATCCACAGAACATTTGCTGCATTAATGCAAGCATTTATACAATGCCTTCAGAACTATTTGGATGCTTGTGATCCCACTAAACCAAAGTCTATCTATCTTAAGATTTTGAAAAGTTAGTCAGTTCCCACTATTTACACATGGGATCTGCATATACAGAGCATGAATTATAAACATGCCTAGAGATCTCTGTTTTCACGAAGACTTTCTACCACCAATCCAACCCACTTTCCTGGCCCACACCCCCAAGAATTTCTGTCTTAGGTGTTTCTCAAACTAACAATTTCAGGGTTTAAAGTATGAAGCATTGGAATTTTTCTCCTAGTTATCTTGCTCTTATACGTGCTCTTCCACTGATAGTCAAGTGTCCTGGAAACACCTTTAGACCAGAATAAGTGGTGTGTGCGTTCCTGGAAAGAAAACTGATAGCTGCAAGTCACTGAGAATGTCCTGGACTCAAAACACTGAGCATGTCCTCAAAATGTTCTGCCACATGAGCCCCTGAAATCTGTTCAAAGTCAATAGTGCAAAAACATCCCTGGGGATCTTGAACAAGAGCCATGTTGAGAGAGAGAAATATTTGATATTCAAGAGGGCAAAGCAAAAGGTGCATGTCTTAAAGGTATTTATTTCTTGAAGGAATTTTAGACAGCTTACTTTTGTAAAGTACAGTTCCTTCACATTGGTCCTTTTCATTTCCACTCTTACCAGAAATCACCAAACTCAGTTAGGTAAATGGAAAGGAAGCCAAGGAAGGCAGAGACAAATGTATTTAAAAAGTAAATAAATTAATTTAAAAAAAATAAAAAAAAAAAGAACTCAATTGGTCTGAAAGAAGTCAACAGTGATCAGAGATGGCTGTATAGAACAGGTAGGATGTGAGCATTTATCTTTAGGATTTTACATACGTGCAGGAGAGTGAATGATGGCATTCTAAGTGGGTGATAGCAGGGTGAACAAATCATAAAGACAGGAGTTGCTGTGGAGTATTCAAGGAACAGTGAGCACACCAGCTTCACTGTGTGGAAGATCTGTGTTGGGGATAATGAGGTCGGTTGCAGCCAGAGAGGAAAGGCTCTTAAATATTAGCCTCAGAGTGTTGGAATATATCCCACAGAAATTAGAAGTCATTAAAGGCTTTGAGGTCATGAAAACCACACTTCAGGA